GGGGCAGTGACCTGAAAGAAATTCTGGAATTTGCATATTAATCAATGGAATCCTGTATCTCCTTTCTAACTGATTAATGATTTAACAGCCATTTAGGTTTGTACAATATATTTGCATCAGTTCTATGACCCTTTGATCTTTTGCGTAAAAATTCTATCTGATGCCACCTCTCTCACCGACACCTGCAGAAGGAGCGAGACTCCGAAAGCTTGTGTTTTCAAATAAACTGTTGGACTATAACCTGATGCAGTGTAATTTTTGACCTTGTCCACCCCAGTCCTACACCGGCTCCTCCAAATTGTGAATGAAATTGCAGACTGTGGGATTGATGGGATAGGAATGGTGAAGTGAGAAACCGTCGCTCAATGCAGTGTACAGATCGGTGAGCAGGTCAGTTCTCCTGTTCTGGTCATTAACGTACGTCGTAGACTCATCTCAAATTTATACTGAAACCAGATTCACACAAACTTGGAAAGTTGTCATTCATATTAACAATGCGTTCATCCTGACCCGAAATAAATACTGATCAGCGTTTTTACCATACCCAGTCTATTAATGCTTCAGATTCATTGCCTTTTGGGTTTCCATTTGTTCTTTAAAAATCAACATGTCAGTTTTGTTTGCATCCTTAAATTAGCTTTTTTTTGAGTGATGAGTTGAAAGGATGGAACTGGTTTCCGGTTAGATTTATTTAAAATTTTGGCGCCTTTTGATTTGTGGGAATGGTAGCTTTTCCGCGTTGCACGATATCGAAAGAAGCCTTCTTTGTGCCTGAGTACGGGCTGCTTGCTTTTGCCAGGTATAAATGCACCGTGAATCTGTAACAGTGGTTGCTTGCAAGTATGTGTACGGATGTCGCTGCCTCCAGCCTCCAGCTACTGTCGATGACTCCAGCTCCAAACCCATTCCAGCAATTATGGACCGTTTGTTTCATATTGTAAATATTAGTCGGCAAATGCCTTATAAGGTTTCGTGTGGCCCTAGCAGCCGAGGGAGTCTGAGCTGCAAACGCTGTGAAAGCGGATAGAGCTGGGGGTAGCCATATACGGACAGAGCTTGGAATTGATCAAAAGGGTCCCAGGACAGGGCTCCATTTGTTTCAATACAGCCCCACCTTGTGTCAGGGTCGCAGCTCCACAGTCATTCCTCATAGACACTCCGTGCTATGTAAGGAGCTTCCTTTGTCAACAGCCTTACATGAGAGAATGCGCTTCCACCTCCAACCCCATTTCTAACCAGTCACGCCCCCAGACTCCTCTCTTGAGAAGTTTCTGCCTCCGTGGCAGACACTGTCACTCGGAAAAGTTGATGTAACTGAACGGCATGGCCCAATTAAAATGACCACCCTCCCCCGCCCCATTAATTTCTATTAAAATTGTACAGAAGAGCCCTGGCAGTCAGCAATATGGACTGGGAGCATATCGTTCCACTTGCAGTACACAGCACATCATGTCCCGAGTGTCTGTGTAAGGGAATTCCAGATGGGAATGGGATTGCAGCCCTGTTAGCAATGGGATGAAGAGGTCCAGCCTGAGGACAGATATGGAAATGCAGCCGGGGTCAAGCAAGACTGAGAGAAACTGCGGAAGGAGGTTGGAAATAAGGACTGGGATCGCGGCGGGTGGAGGTTGGAGACACTGAGAGCGGAAATGTGCATTTTAGGCAGGCTATATAGTTAAGGATTAAAATCAATTCCAGAGTTTGGCACAGATTAAATCAGTGGTAGCATCCCTACCTCTGAGCCAGGGACACACTTCAAGTCCCACACGTACCAAGGGTGTGTAACGACATGTCTGAACAGATTGGTTAGAAAATACCTAAACGAGGAATGCCAAGGGTAGGAGTGGGATACAGGCAATGACCAGAAGCACCATATTAGACACCACAGCATGGTAGTGGTAGCGGTGAAAGCTGAAGGATGCGAGGGCTGCACTCAGCCTTAAATCTGTTTTCTTTCTACAGATGCTGCTAGACCTGCTGAGTTTCTCCAGCAATGTCTGTGTTTATTTGAGAGAAAAAAAACCTCTCAAAGCCAAGTTCACTTTGGATTCAGTCAAACAGCACCTGGCAATAAATCTCAGAATTGGCATCAGGATAAAATGGCCACATTGCTCAAACTTACCCTATAGGAAGCCAAGGCACCCGCTGTGTCAATTGTAACCTGCTCTACTGGGCAGCTGGCAAGGACATCTCAACAAACACTGAGAGTTCTTTTGTTATAATAGCATTTCCCAATCAAGATCCACTTCAGTTCTAATCGGTAACCTGTGTGGGACTACTGCCGTTAGGAGGCAATCAAACAGATATGTACTTTTACACAAGCTGAAGGAACACTCGAACAAGGGCTAAGTCTCCTATGAACTGCCACTTTGCCCCCTTTGATCCAGCATTTATCTTAATTCTGGATTTATTCTGTTTCCCTTCTAGGGTGGGGGAGGATTTAAAAAATCTCCAGCAACCGTGATTGTATGATGGCATTCGGAAATATGGCAACCCGAAACTTTGTGCGGCTATCAGGAATTTAGATGTGACTAATGACATTTCTACTCAGCAATTAACATGTATTAAATGTGCATCCCTGTTGAGTCTGTGGACTCAAACTCCCTTTGGCACAGGGTTTGCATGTTCACTTTAACCTTTTTACTGTAAGAGTTGGTAAAATGTCAGGTTATGTATTAGATATGTGTTTAAATGATTTCTGGTCATTGTGTATGCTTGTTAAGTTAGTGAAAGGTGGTAGATATTTGTCATTTAAATACAAATGTACACTTACCTGATATTGTGAGTCTGTGGGGAGTTTTCTGTTAAACTAGGGCTAGTGGTATATAAATGGTGTCAGCAGCCACATCTGTGGTTAGTCAGTCATTTCCCCTGGATACGATGCTTATATCTGATGTTCCCTGTTAATAAGAAGACCTACCTAACTATACGGCTATTAGTTAGTGCTGCCCCCTCAGTCCTATCCCAATCCCCATCTCCAATTCCCTCGTCCCCAAGTCTGCTGGTTCTCATTCTCTTATTCACCATCCCCACTTGGTGTCACTGCTCATCAGCTGAATCTCTTACTCCCCAATTCTCTGGCACTTTTACCAACTGTCTCTCCCTCTCCAACTCTCTCTTCCACCGCCACCATCCCCCTCCATCCCCCTTCATCCCCACGTCACTCTCTCTCATTACTCTCTCTGGCACACACAGACACACATCTTGTCTCACTCTCTCCCTGACTTTCACACTGTCTCCCCACCCACTTAGTCTCTGCCTGTCTCTCAGTCTCTGGCATTCTCTTTTTCATTCTCTGGTGTCCAAGCCCCTCTCTCACTTTCATTCCCTGTTCATTCATAGAATCCCTACAGTGTGGATGCAGGCCATTCAACCCATTGAGTCCACACTGACCCTCCAAACAGCATAACACCCAGAGTCACATCCCTACCCTATAAACTGGAATTCTGCATTTTACATGGCTAATCCATCTAGCCTAGACATCCCTGGACACTGCAGGGCAATTTAGCTTTGTTATTCCAGCTAACCTGAACATCTTTGTGGCTATGGGAGGAAACTGGAGCATCCGGAAGAAACCCACGCAGA